ATTTCCAAACATATTTGGAAGGTCAAACAGGTGACGAATAAGCGACTTTATAGCTGAATTGAGCGTCTCGATAAGTTGAATCCAACGAGCTTAAGATTGTTCGATTTTGACATCATTAAGGTACTCAAATGTCCATTAAATGACATCTGATCGAAAGAAGCTCTCTTGACTATCCGATCAAAATAGTTCATATTCCTACATTAATTGCACCCAGAACATTATAAATATAGTTTCACCCCTCACATGAGGAAGGGGGCTTGAGAGAAAACTTGAGGCTTTGAGAAGGAGTTCAAGTCCAACATCATCCCTACCATCATCGATTGTGGTCGACCACCACCGACTTTCGGCGATCACTTCCGACCTTTGTTGACCACCGTCGGATGTCTTCAACCCCCGTCGACCACCGTCGACCATCGCTGAGCTCTGTGGATCACCGTCGACCGTCATCAACTGTTTTCGACTGCCGTCAGCTGCTGTCAACCATAGCCAAGCACTGTCTATCACCGTTGACCTCTGTCGACCACCGCCAACCATTGCTATCCAAACGTCATCAGTCGACATTGTAACTTGGAAAAACTAGTAACTCTTTTCTGTTTATGGGACAAGGGATTTCTGTAATCATCAATTAGTAATGAATTTTTATAATTGAGTAATGCCCCGTGGTTTTTTCCCTTTATGGGTTTTTCACGTAAAAACTTCTCGTGTCATCACAGTTATTTTCCTGTCATCTGAGTATGTGTTAAATCCTCGTGCAAAGTTAATACAATAATATATATATATATAGTTATATAATCATTTATTGCTTTTATTAAATTTGCAACCAGTATATGTACATCTAGGTCATCTCGAAATTGCAATTTGTCATTGTGAAAATTAAAACTCTTGCATAAAAAAATGTGTTTGTGTAGATTTTGAGGAGATCCAATTGTTTAGAAGGAATGAGGTACGACAGAAGGTCCTCCGACAAAAGGCCGGGAAGACCACTTATTTGATCGAATATAGTCATAAAAGCTAAAGCCGAAGGCCGACTGAGTTTGGAAAAGAATAAAAAGAATATCAAATAATTCAAATTTGAACCAATCGAACTAAAGCAGGGCAAATAAGTGACAAAAGAAAAATATGTTGAGATTTTTGTACATATTTTATACTGTTTTTGATGATATTGCACTTTAAAGAAAGGTATTTTTGATGTTTTATTACAGGAATGATGAATTAGAGTCATTAGAGCAAAAAAATGCAAAAAAGAGCGAATTTGGAGCGAAAATGACCAAAATGTGAAGAATTGAACTAGGGCGCCGACGAAGAGATTTTCCCGAGACTCCATAATTAATTCACTTAAAAGGTCCACCGACGGCGCCCTCGAGGCTGCCGACCGGCGAGCTCGGCGGTTATGTCCAACAAAGCATTGGATGAGGAAGAATTTTGGAGGGGTGCTTAGGCAACTCTTGGGGAAACTCATCCACAACTTTAAAAGAAGATTTTGGTCAAAAATTGGAGAGAGCCTAGAGGTCCTGGATGTTAGAAAGGTTATGAAAGTTGGAGAGGTTCCATTAGTGCTTGCTAAAAAGTCTAAATTGTGAGGAATTCTTCGAGAGATTGTAGAGTGGAGGGAAAGTGAGAGATTTCTTCCTCCTTGCCGCTTCGAAGAGAAATTCTGTGTACTGTAAAGAAAGGAAGAGATTCAGGGAGGTCAAAGCCCTTGGAAGTTGGGTGTAAATAAATAGGGAAATAAAATTATTGGGCTTAGAATTGGAGATTTTAGAGCGACAGATTAAAATCTTCAATTTGGTCCTATCGTTTGGGTGCTGAAGTGTAGATGTTAGCCCTCAGG